CCAACGGACGCCAATATATACGCCCCCTATTTCAGGTGGGTATATAAAAATGTCAAAGAAGGCTTTGGAACCATTTTCAATGGTTACCAGGCAAAAAAAAAAAAAAAAAAAAAATTATACCATGAGGCAAAATAAAATTTCCCAGCCGATTACAACATCAACAAAGAACTCAAAAAAACAAAAACAAGAAACTAAAAGTTTAAATACAAAATACTGCACTTACTGTTTATGGTGAATTTTAAAGAAAGTAAACTATAGAAGAGTTTGTCATCCTTTAAATATGTTCTATCATCCCTCATACCCTGAAATATAAATTATTACATAGAAATAACAAGCTGATAAAAAGAAAACAATATGGCAGTTTATGCAGTTCAATAATACAACTATTAAGAATATGAAATTATTTGCAAAAAGATATCAACATTTCATGTACCTATTAAAGGGTTAGATTCACCATTTGTTTAATCAATCATACCTTAGTCTCAGAAAAGGAAATTTTCAGCTAAGCTAATTAGTAATAGTGATCACAGCTCACATCCTTCAAATCCATGTGTGTTAAGAATTATTCGCGTTTGAAAGTTGAAAATTTTTTGATTTAGAAATAAAAGATTAAAATTCCCAGTTTGAGGTATTTGTAAAGGAATTATGCGATTTTCTTACAATTTTAGCAGTTAAGAAGACTACTTGAAAATATCGAACCATGGCAGTTAAAATATAAATTTGGTTTGAAATTGTTTTTAGAATTTTTATCTTATAGCTAAAACAGTCTAAGCTGTAATTTGCAAAAAAACTACAAAAACTTTATCAAAATTCCATCAAGAAATATTTTCCAAAAGTCGAGAGGGAATACACAGAGGAACATAGTTGATTTGACTTCTTGATTTTGTCTAATGAACATCAAATAGAAAAATCGTGACCAAAAATGGAAAAACATTATGATTTTTTTTTAAATATGCATTTTGTGAAAGAAATCTAATTAATAAATATATTTTTAGATCACTGAAAATAAATTACAACGTTAGAGATGAAAAAAATTATTTGTAGGACTCTTAGAATATTAAATCAATTTAGCCATAGTTAAGTGTATAGAAGCTTTTTTTTGACTAGGGAAATCTTGTGGTTTTCTTATCCTTTTATGTGTATTGGGCGAAATCATCCATATGAACCATTTAAATTTTTTGGTCAGTTCAGGAATATGACAGCAATGACTGAAACAAAAGCTGCTAATAATATTTAAGGGCCTTTGTGATGATAGTGACACAATGAAATGCAAATTTCTAGTTTAAGTGGAATTGCCAGAATCTCAGACATCTGATTGAAAACATTACTAATCATTGCTATCGGTGTCCCTAATATAGATAAAATTATAGAAACTACTTTACAGATCTTTAATAGAATATGGTAGAATTAGTTGCTCAGTGAGAAAAACTTTCTGGAGTGACCGGAGAACTTTGGGGACCTGAATTGAATACCAAATCGAAAAATTTTATTCCCCACATATCTTTAACAGTGACTGGATAGAAATACTTTGTTTCTAAAACCAATTGCTAGATTAAACAGAAACCAGAAAAACACCAGACAAAAACACTATGAATTTCTACTTAAGTGAAGATGGAAGAAAGTACCATAAAAACAATATGATGAAAAAGGTTTTCAAGGTTAAAAAATATTCAACTATATTTACCCACATCAAAGAAACCTGTTTGGGCTATGTAATGTCATAGGGAAAAGTTTACCTGGACTGAGTCTTTTCAAATTTCTTTTATATACATTTACTTATTTCAATAAATTTGTTTGATATATTTTGATAAACCTGTTCTATTTATTACGATAAACCTGTTCTATTTATTACGATAAATCTGTTCTATTTATTACGATAAATCTGTTCTATTTATTACGATAAATCTGTTCTATTTATTACGATAAATCTGTTCTATTTATTTCATAAATCTGTTCTATTTATTTCATAAATCTGTTCTATTTATTTCATAAATCTGTTCTATTTATTTCACTAAATCTGTTCTATTTACGATAAATCTGTTCTATTTATTTCATAAATCTGTTCTATTTATTTCATAAATCTGTTCTATTTATTTCATAAATCTGTTCTATTTATTACGATAAATCTGTTCTATTTATAACGATAAATCTGTTCTATTTATTTTATAAATCTGTTCTATTTATAACGATAAATCTGTTCTATTTATTACGATAAATCTGTTCTATTTATTACAATAAATCTGTTCTATTTATTACGATAAATCTTTTCTATTTATTACGATAAAACTGTTCTATTTATTACGATAAATCTGTTCTATTCATTACGATAAATCTGTTCTATTTCTTACGATAAATCTGTTCTATTTATTACACTAAATCTGTTCTATTTAATACACTAAATCTGTTCTATTTATTTTATAAATCTGTTCTATTTATTACAATAAATCTGTTCTATTTATTACGATAAATCTGTTCTATTTATTACGATAAATCTGTTCTATTTCTTACGATAAATCTGTTCTATTTTTAATACACTAAATCTGTTCTATTTATTACACTAAATCTGTTCTATTTAATACACTAAATCTGTTCTATTTAATACACTAAATCTGTTCTTTTTATTTCATAAATCTTTTCTATTTATTTTGATAAATCTGTTCTATTTATTACGATAAATCTGTTCTATTTATTACGATAAATCTGTTCTATTTATTTTGATAAATCTGTTCTATTAATTTCATAAATCTGTTCTATTTATTGCACTATATCTGTTATATTTTTTCAATAAATCTTTTCTATTTATTTTGATAAATCTGTTCTATTTATTACGATAAAACTGTTCTATTTATTACGATAAATCTGTTCAATTTATTTCATAAATCTGTTCTATTTATTACGATAAATCTGTTCTATTTAATACACTAAATCTGTTCTATTTATTACACTAAATCTGTTCTATTTAATACACTAAATCTGTTCTATTTAATACACTAAATCTGTTCTTTTTATTTCATAAATCTTTTCTATTTATTTTGATAAATCTGTTCTATTTAATACACTAAATCTGTTCTATTTATTACACTAAATCTGTTCTATTTAATACACTAAATCTGTTCTATTTATTACACTAAATCTGTTCTATTTAATACACTAAATCTGTTCTATTTAATACACTAAATCTGTTCTTTTTATTTCATAAATCTTTTCTATTTATTACGATAAATCTGTTCTATTAATTTCATAAATCTGTTCTATTTATTGCACTATATCTGTTGCATTTTTTCAATAAATCTTTTCTATTTATTTTCATAAATCTGTTCTATTTATTACGATAAATCTGTTCTATTTATTTCATAAATCTGTTCTATTTATTACGATAAATCTGTTCTATTTTTTACGATAACTCTGTTCTATTTTTTTCAATAAATCTTTTCTATTTATTTTGATAAATCTGTTCTATTTATTACGATAAATCTGTTCTATTTATTTCAATAAATCTGTTCTATTTATTACGATAATTCTGTTCTATTTTTTACGATAAATCTGTTCTATTTATTTCATACATCTGTTCTATTTTTTTCAATAAATCTGTTCTTTTCATTTCATAAAAGTATTATACATGTATGTCAGATGTATAGTATTCTTTACTTTCACAAACCTGCCAGCGTTTCATGCAATATCAACATATTAAACTGGTATTTATATTTGACATTATCTTCAGAAAATACTTAAGCTTGAAAACATCTTGTATGAATTCTTCTTATTGCATAAAATATTTTCTTCAAATTAAAAGAAAAAATAGAATTGAAAACAGGATGTAAAAATCAGATTAATCAGAAAAAACCCCTTAGCATATCAATCAAAAAAAAGTGAATAAAAAGTGATATTTTTTAACTTTTTGATCTCCCTTATGGTCGGCTTGGAAGTTAATCTCTTCCCAAGACATCAACTTAATGTTCAAAAAACAACTTTAGTGTAAAAATTTGTTAACCTGACAATCCATCAACTAAAACAGGAAGTATTCTCATAATTTTCTTATATTCTACAAAAAACATATATCTGTTAATCTCAGGCAAGGTGGAATAGACACACAGATTTCAAAGAAAAAGGAAGTATTGTCATAATTGTCTCAGATATTCCTCTAAATGTCACATTTACATGTGTATTGTCAGACAAGGTAGAATATGTCCAGAGACTTAGTGGAAACAAATTTATATTATAAAAAAGCGTTTTGTGTTAATGTAAGAGTAAGGACCCATTTTAATGCAAAACTCTGATCTTATAAGTGGCACTTATAGAATAGGGTATAATAGACTATTTCCTCTCTTTGGACACTTGGTCTGTGACTGAATCAGTTACCAACAAAAGTTCATGTTTCTTGACCCCAGACAGCTGGACACCATTGAAAATGATTGAAAACTTAACTTTTAAATTAGTGTTCCAGTCATCTGACTAAAATTGATTTTAAATTAGTTTGTTCTCCAATCAGATTACTTTATTTCTTATAATCAAGTTTTATTTCAGTAAAGTAATTCACCTTTCTGTCAGATTTGACTCTGTTAACTGACTTTCTCTCATCTAGTCCATACTATCTTACCAACAGATGTTTTCTGGTTTTTTATGGAATGGTTTTCATCCCATAAATCTGAAGATAGTCACAGACCAAACTCCTCCACATTGGACATATTAAGAGTAAAAAATTAAGTACTATTTATTCTTATCAGTCAATAAGACATTTAATATGATGGTAAAATACCTTCTTGTTTGACATTTGGTTTAAATTTGTGTAGAGTTGTTAATAACTGACATCATTATCAAATCTATAGTATTGTAAATATACTTATTTCAATCTCAGACCACATGGCTCAATTAATCTTTTCCATACCACAGAAAAAACTTCTGGAATTATATCTGAGAGGGCCTACTGTCTGATATCAACAGAATTTCTTTTAAGGTGCTGTCTTTAGAAACAGTTTAAAATGGAAAACTGTCAAAAATGTATTTCCGATTCTAAGAATTAGCAGAAGCACTCAATGACTCATCTATATGTTTCTTGAATTGTGGATTCAATTTTTTCAGCAAAGTTTAAAAATATATAGCAAACAGTCAGTCATTCAGATAGTACAAGCAGTGTGCTCCAGAATACCAAGCTTGAAAACCTTAGTTGTAGATGATTCAAAAGAAAGAAGCAAAACAACCAATTTTTACACAGAAAACTTAGGTTCCATTCTACTCGGTGATCTTTACCTAACATCTTGACACTGATCTTTCCTGGATTATAATTATGTACCACTATTTGTTAAACATAACCAAGCAAATGACGTCATGTGCTTTGCTAGGTTGTACTACAGATACCCTCTGGCAATGCACACAGATAAAAGTGGCCTATAAGGTGCAGGGCCTGCAGGCTGAAAAATGGTTTCAACTACATTTCATGTCATTAGTTTATAAATAAAAAGTTCCATTACTTCATATACAATTAATTTGGGTACAATCATGTAATATTCCTTTCGGTGTGCTTCATAAATTTTTAAAAAGTTTCAAAAATATGACGTAGATCTATATGAAAATAAGACACATAACGTCAATATTCTTATGTCGCAATTCTATCATTCTACGATAGCATGATTACAGTGTTGACTGTAGGCAGCATTACCTGACAGTAAATAATTACAAAGAAATACAATGCTCGCACTTACTAAGGTCTTCGCCTTTACTCAACCTTTACAGCTAATAGCTTTAAGTCTGTAGGCATTGTATATGAATTTCACAATATTGCTTGATGGCAATATCCTATAAAAACAGTATATGTCTACAAGTTTCTTTACACTGTATGCATTCACTGTCCTTATGACTTTTAAAAAGAAGAAAACTGTTAATTTTACAGGATTTAATGTTTGATAACATAGCACTATTAATCTCTTTATCAATAGAAAAGTGAGCCATCATCTATTCAGTCATTTCTATGTCCCTACAATAAATATGTTGCTGGCATAAAGGGGCAAAATTCTCAGTAACATAGTTAGCAAAAATCTCTGATGTATGTTGTGCAGCATGCAGAAATGACTATAAACACCAAAGAGTCATTTAATTAGACAGCGAAAGATCCTATCAATCTAGGTCTTATACTTAAGATTTTGGTATACTATAAGGTTTTAATCACAAGAAGGAGCTAATTGCCTACTTAATAAAAGGAATTAACACAATTAATACATTGTCGGAATCATGTAAAATTAGAAAGAAATGAGAATTTGATTCAATACAATTTGTTATCATTACATATGTAATATTCAAAGATGATCTTACACCAAGTGTATGCTACATTTGTAGCATTTGTATGATTTTACTGCAGAAATAAACCATATTTCGATAGTATGGCATTTGTAGAAAAGAAGCAGATGCCTTAAGGAAGCCACTTGTACCTAATAGCGTTTACCTCATCTATCAGTAAACAATATCTGTTTAAAACATCTCTCAACAGATCATAAAATAACCACAACTATTTGAAAAAAGACCTATGAAGGGATATTGTTACTTCTAAATTTCTTGATACAGGTAATGGCATTTCTAAGGGGAACTGTCTTTGATCACCCCATTTTCAAATTTTACATAGGGAAAAAATTGCTTGTGATAATTCGGTGAGCCCCCTTGACAATTCTGTAAACCCTGTTATAGTTCTGCAAGCCCCCTTGATAATTCTGTAAGCCCTTTCATAATTCTGCAAGCCCGCTTGATAATTTTGTAAGCCCCTTTGATAATTCTGTAAGCCCGCTTGATAATTTTGTAAGCCCCTTTCATAATTCTGCAAACCCGCTTGATAATTTTGTAAGCCCCTTTGATAATTCTGTAAGTCCCCTTGATAATTTTGTAATCCCCTTTGATAATTCTGTAAGCCCCCTTGACAATTCTGTTGCTCTGCTTGGCCACTCCAACCCTCCACCTATTGATTCACAGACATGCAACTGCTACAAGGAGATCTTCAAAAAATAATTGCGATATTGGGTTCATCTGCAATTTATTACTGGATAATACAGACTGTATCTGCTTTGGAGAACTATTATAAAGTAAAGCTATAAAAAGTAATTGTGGTCCTTTCCGTAAATTAAAGAATTTTTGAAATGATTATAGTTTATGACAAAAAGGAACTCATTTTTCATTTTGAAGTCTTTCTGAAGCAGGTCGTCAAAATTGAGATCTATAGAATAATTTGTTGACATTATCCCTTTCATTTTCTTTTCAGGGTATAACATACAATCTATTGAATTTTGCTTAAATCAATTTCAGCTTGTAAAAATACAAATCAAATGTAATCAAATTGAAATAATTGTTTAAAACAATCTACAATTCAATTAATATTCTATTAGTAATAGTTTATGTTACCTGCAGTATCTCTCAACAATTCAATCATATATTCTGCTGTAACACTTGTTTGTTTCACCTGAACTAAGTATAACATTTCATCTTTTGCAACATATTTGGAAACCCCATACTGCAGTAATAAATTAAACACGCCAGTTTTAAACTATAAGTCTGTTAAAGCACTGTGATCTAAAACTTTAGTATGAAAAAAGATATGTTTCCATTCTTCAAAAAAAGAACAATGTGAAATTTTTCTCCTGTACAAACAAACAACATAGTGTTGGAATTTAAATCTTGTACATGTTGGGAGATTATACATGCCTTACAGGCAGTCTTAAATACAGTAATAATGAAATGCTGTCACTAGTACATTTAAACCTTTCCATATCAGACTACTATAATTGTCAATATTTTTTCTTAGACCAAAATTAGAGCCCAGGAGCTGAATCAATTGACAATAATTTTCATGACCAATTTTGAATATACTATTTCTGTAAAATAAGGCCAAGGCTGACTATTGCTTGAAGCACCATATCTCAAGAACAACCTGGACCAAGAGCACCTATGGGAAATAAAAAAGAGCATCATAAATCGAAAGCAGTGCATGAACCATGGGTTGAAAACAGAGTAGTAACTTCAAGTGAGGAAATTGAGGGAAAGTACTAATCCTTGGTACATGTATAAGTACGGTAGTACTAAAAGCTGGACAATGCAATGAGATCAAAAGTAGAAATATTATTTCAGAAAGAAGTAATAGAGATAGACAGTGCTTATATTCACTTTATATTAAAACAAATATGAGAAACTACTGGAAATTTGATTGAAAGTGAATTTTTGGCAACAACTGGAAATTTGACAGAAAGTGATCTTTGGTAAGTACTAGAAAAGTTTGACTGCAAGTGAATCTTTGGCTGCTACTGGAAATTTGACTGAAAGTGAACCTTTGCCAACCACTTGAAACTTGACTGAAAGTGAATCTCTGCCAACTACTGGAAATTTGACTGAAAGTGATCTTTGGCAACTATTGGAAATTTGACTGAAAATGAATCATTGACAACTTCTGGAAATTTGACTGAAAGTGAATCTTTGACAACTACTGGAAATTTGACAGAAAGTGAATCGTTGACAACTACTGGATTTTGACTGAAAGTGAATCTTTGACAACTACTGGAAATTTGACTGAAAGTGAATCTTTGGCAACTATTGGAAATTTGACTGAAAGTAGAGTTTGGCAACTAATAGAAATTTGGCAACTACTGGAAATTTGACTGAAAGTGAATTTTTGACAACTACTGGAAATTTGACTGAAAGTGATCTTTGTCAACTACTGGAAACTTGACTGAAAGTAAATCTTTTAGACTACTGGAAACTTGACAGAAAGTGAATCTTTGGCAACCGCTGGAAATTTGACTGAAAGTGAATCTTGGAAAACCACTGGAAATTTGACTAAAAGTGAATTTTTGGGAACCAATGAAAATTTAACTGAAAGTGAATCTTGGAAAATCACTGGAAATTTGATTGAAAGTGAATTTTTGGGAACCACTGGAAATTTATCTGTAATTGAAATTGTTAAAATTTTTAGAAAGTAATAGATCGAACGATATATTTCGAAAGTAGAACCATTATCAAAAGTTGTACCATAATATGAAAGTAGTAGCATAGGTCAGGATACGGAAGTACATCAAGTTATATAATACGTGTATTAAAATAACAACATTATTGTCTATATTACTAGCCTTAGGACCAATTAACTTTAGTATGGTCTTCTAACCAACACATTATACTATCACTTCTCATATAACTTTCATCATCAACACACAATTTATAACCTTTCTAGTGTTAATATATTCAAGAAAATCTATATTCTTTTATTGAACCAATACTACTGGACAGACTAATATAAACCAAATTAATACAATTAACCAAATAAACTCTAACATTTTGATATATCTAACCTAGATGTCAATCAGTCCCATAACTTATATCTTTATTGAGACTTCTCTATCTTATAAACATGTAATCCCACTCTGTGATCCTTTTGTGGTGTTTGTATTAAAATGTATCAATAAAACCTGTTTGGTATATGTCCAGTACTTTAATTACATTCATTGTGGTCTTCAGTTTAAAAAAAATGATTTAAATAAAATAAAAGTATGCAAACATTAGAAACAAACTATTGAAATAAGTTGGCTATAGTTTTATTTTCTTCAAATAACTTCACAGGTATGTGTGTTTTTTGTCTTTTATTCAACATGAGAAAAAGATATTTGTGGTCTATGAACTCTTTTTAAATTGGGTGATTACAAACAACTATACAGAGTTTCGTCAAAATCAGTCAAGAATTTTGCTTTGTAGAGTGTTTACGAGAAATTGTGGACGGACTGATGAACAGGCCGACATAGGTGACAACAATATACGCCCCCCATTTCATGTGGGCTTATAAGAATAACATATTGTATATTTAATTTAAGAGTTATAGAAGATAAATGTAAAATATGGTAGAAATTAGCATTATATCATTGATAAACTATTACCAAGGTTACTTTAATCATTTGTTGAGATTCAGAGACATGAAATCTTTATAAGTTATTGATCAAACAACATATCTCAAGCCCATAGAAAAAAGTCAAGCACTTTCTCATCAATTTGGGACTTAAGTAGTTTCTAACCTTAATCTAGACGAGATCCTAGCAATCTTGTCAGATAATTCTCTTCGTAACTATGAATAACTTCTACAACTTGTTTGGTTTTCTGTATTAAGTGGCGAAGACTCACTAATGAAAAAGTACTACTTTCAACTGCTGATGTATTTGGTGCAGTGAGGCATTTAATTGCATGATGTAGTCAACTTACACATAAATGAATAAGAATCATTAGGTTTTTCAATTTCTGACATTTACAAATGTTTGAAAGTGATTTAAAAATTGTATCTATAAATGTAACACTTTGGAAAATTGACAGAAGTTATAACTTTTATCATTTAACATGTTTAAGTCAATGAATAACTCTGAACAACCACTTGATTTCAGCTATTGGTACCTCTTTTCATCATGATGATTTTACATTATGACATTCTTAGTAGAAATAATTACAGATATTACAGACTGAATCCTCACATTAATTATAATATCAACAACCTCACCTGATAATAACACTATACTATTCAGTAAAACATGTATGACAATAGAATTATTATTAGAATAAACTTACTTCATTGCAGTGAAAATTCAAGATAATAACTTGAAAATTCAACATATTAACTTGAAAATTCAAGATACTAACTTGAAAATTCAACATACTAACTTGAAAATTCAAGATAATAACTTGAAAATTCAACATATTAACTTGAAAATTCAAGATACTAACTTGAAAATTCAACATACTAACTTAAAAATTCAAGATACTAAATTCAACATACTAACTTGAAAATTCAAAAAAAAATAAAAAATTAATGCCCCCTTATACGCTTCCGTAGATACCTGATGATTTTTTCTCTTATTTATGTTTTGGCTAAGAAACTGAAATCATGCTATCAAGTCAATTCCAAGTTAATTTCATTTACAGCAACTTAATATCAAAGGATCGTGGATGAAAAAATTAATTACATGCATAAAATAAATTGTAAACATATACTGACATTGGAACATCAAAGTTAACAGAAATTTCATGCTTTTGCTGAGTTTTAATAACAAACATAATAGTCATTTTAAATATGATATTAAAAGAAACAGCATGAGGTTCACAATTGGAATATATTTTCCTAAAAGCTTTTAAACAGTAAAGTTTGAAGGTCAGATTTTATTATTGCAGGAAGTTCATAAAAGGCTGAATGTGAACAACAGTTTTGATGAAAGAAAATAACACAATCATGTCATTGTGTGCCGAGACATGAATATAAAAAAAGATGCCCTATTTGTCGTGAGAAGGTGATTTTTACTTATATTCAGTCAGTCAATCAGATACATTGCGATTTTAGAGCAGACTGCAATACATTTGACCTGTGAGCCAGTAGAAATGCTAATTCATTGCATTTCTCAATTAGAATTCATCAAAAACTGGAAAAAGATATAAACTTTTCATTTTGAATTAACTTTATGATCTAGCATACTTTTTATCTGATTGGGCAATGTTTAACTTTTTGAGTTTTAACAACCAATCAGCTTTCACATTTTTGAATCTGGATTTGGAATATAAATGTAAGTTTTTATGTATATATGGATAAAGTTAACTTGTCATCTCCCAACCAACCTGTAAATTGAAATAAGACATTTGAACTTTCAAGCATTTTGAATATCACTGAAATTAGTTTTTAGAAATACAACTGTTTTGTACTTTAGTTAGCATGTGTCTTAAGAATAGAAACCTACAGAGTTAGAGAACTTTTTATCAAATCCAATTATGAGGTGCTGATAGTAAACAATGTTATAGATTTATAGAGTAAAAATCATGCTGTTATTTGGCAATGTAGTATTAAAGACCATGGTTTGCCATTTTTAGTGGTAGATTTGGGTCTTTAATATATTTTTAATTAATCTTCAAAAATACAAGAACTGCCAAAAATTGCCCAATCCCTGCAGTTATACCTCAAACTAGAAATTTCACCAACTATTTCTATATATATGGTGTAGTCTAAAAAAAAAACAAGTCGTCATTTAACTTTCACATGTAGATAATTCTGAACACACAGCTCAAGGCTCAAATTGCAAAAGTGAGCAGTTAACACTATTACTGAGAAGATTAGCTGCAATAAATTCTGTTTCTGAGGCTAAGGTGCAAATGGTTGAGAGTGTAGTGGATCTGTCCCTACAATATCTGACAAGGTCAGACTTCCTCTGGTAGTTATTAAGATTAAGATGCAACCAACACTTTCTTTAATTTTAGCAGGTCAACGACATCCAACAAACAGAACCACAGTTATTGTCAAAAAATGAAAAATTGTATTGAAGCCAATCTGAATTTTGACTCATAACTGAGCTAGCAAAAAATACAAACACTGTTAAAACTGGGAAAGAAAATAAATGGTCCAGTATTCTCAAATATAATAGATAGTAGTGCTGAGTATCATCAATATGTCATGATATGATACGTATCTAGATACAAGGGTCACGATACAATACATATTGCGATATGAGGTAATGGGATAAAAATTAACATTTTATCTTCAAAGTTTCTATATATATATTATTCATAACTATAAAACTGTGATATATGGTAATAATAATAGTAATAGTAATAGTAATAGTTTGATTTATCGCGCAAATTCCATATCAGTGCTCGATTAAGCTTTACACAACATTGTTAAAAAAAATGAATGATTAAAAAATATTAATATGATATAATCTACTAAAATTAAAAAGTTGTTTGAATAATAATTAAAAAGCTTCCCTAAAATAGTGAGTTTTTAGTTTCTGTTTAAAAATATTCAAAGACTCGCAAGAGCGCAGTTCTATTGGTAAACTGTTCCATAGATATGGGGCCTGGTATGAAAAACTTATCATTCCATATGTATGAAGGTTGGCAGTTTTAGGTGTGATAAGAAAGGAGTTAGACGATCTTAAAAGGCGTGGTGAGATGTATGAAGAGACCAGTTCACAAAGGTATGATGTAGCCAAGTTGTGGATACATTTAAAAGTCATTTTATATTGAATACGATAAACAACTTGTAACCAGTGTAGAGAGAATAATAATGGTTAGACGTCTTGAACCAGTTATTAGACAAGCAGCAGAATTTTGTACGAGTTTAATTTAATTTATTTGTTAGTCGATGAGGAAGTCCTGGGAGAAGAGAGTTCATGTTGTCCAGCCTTGAGGTTACTAAAGCGTGAACAAGTGCTTTTAGGGCATTGCTGGAAATGTATTTTGAGATAATCCTGATGTTGTGGAGTTGATAGTGACAGTTCTTATATGTATTATTGATTTGGAGCTCCATGTTCAGTCTCTTATCAAATATAACACCAATATTTCTTGCAGACTCACTCGACTGTATTAGGGAGTTTCCAATTGAAACAGACAGATTGCCCGTGTTGTCAAGTTTAGAGAGGAGGTGATCAGAACCTATAAGCAGGTACTCTGTTTTACTGTCATTCAGTTTGAGGAAATTTGATGACATCCAAATACGAATTTCTTCAAGTCACTGTTGTATCCCAAGCTTAGATGGGACAAATTTCAATTCTGGTTTAAATGTGATGTAAAGCTGTGTGTCGTCTGCATACAGACTAATATAGTTGATAGAAGTAGCAAGCATCAACTGTCTGATAAAAAGTTTCTAACAATTTCCGTGAATATTGTTATATCATAAAACAATTTATAAAAATCCCCACTTATTTATGTAATAAAAGGTATCATCAAGTATCCATACATAACATTGCAATACGACATGCATATAATTGATAGCACTAATAGATAGAGTCTTTGAATAGTTGAATATTGAAATGATTTAAAAATTGTGCGAATTTCTTCAGATTATTAACAACAAAGGTAGTTGCCAAGAAACAAACACACAAAACAAAACATCAATATATACATGTCTAGTCCATTGTGTAAGTCATGTTATATGTCATAAACCTGAACAAACCATTTTCAGTGAAAATTATAAAATTTTCTTATTCTCAATCGCAATTTTACTTCAAAGGTTCATTATATGACAAAATTATAACAACCATAAAATAGAGCAATAACTTAAAGTTTTGACCTTTAAATTGATAATGAAAAACTATAAATTCAAATTAGATTACATTTTCAATCATTTTCATATTATACCATAACATTAAGAAATCTTTTAAAATGTGCACTTTAAAAATTAGAAAAAATAGAAAACTATGTTATTATTATCAATTCTTTATCCATTAAATTTATTTGCATGCTAATAGGTTAATAAACATCAGTTCTTTATAATGTGCAAATAATGGAAATTTTGCCAGGCTAGCAGTGATATTTCACCTACATATATTTAGGAGCTCAAACTTGAAAGTTATCAATGAAATTTTTGACATTGATTTGACAAGTTAAAGCTAATGGACCATAGTGACAGATAAGATTCTTCTATCAAGGCAGGAATAAAAGACTTTACAGATTTATAGCCAATGTTTTTACATTAGTAGACCTATTGGAGGTTCACATACCCATAGAAAAATATTATGTTATTTCATTTTAAAAATATGAAACATTAATTTTGAGATTCAATCTGATTTTGACAGACAACATCTTGCATGTCCAAGATTTTTGGTTTTGTAATAAAATAGCCAGTGCTATACACAGTGTAGATATAAGATTCCGGAAATGCCAGTAGTACTATAATTGCTTATTGATCGGAAGTGATAGATGTCCACCTTACTTCCTAAAGTGAAAGATAAAAATGGTCAATGATAGTTAAAAGAGAAAATTACCTCCAAATGAAGAGCTCCACCATCATTCATGATAAGTTGAGACATCGTAAAGTTTTTATATTGGAAATAAGAGCTAGTAAAATCATCTGAGTTGTCGATAGCCAATTCTGCCATGAAACCCTGAAATAGACAAAGGTAATTCATTAGAGATATACTCAATAAACATTTGATATCTCAGTAAAGCCAGCCTGTGATAAAATATCTGAATAAAAAGATTATTGTGGTATACTTGAAATAATCACTTGTTAGATATCTGACCCATCATTCTCATAAAATAACCACTTGTTTGATATCTGACCCATCATTCTCATAAAATAACTACTTGTTAGATATCTGCTTCATCATTCTCATAAAATAACCACTTGTTAGATATCTGACCCATCATTCTCATAAAATTACCACTTGTTTGATATCTGATCAATAGTTACCCATAAAATAACCACTTTTTTAATATCTGATTGATTGTAGGTTAAACCTTAATATAACCACTTGTTTGATACCTGATTGATCATGAAACCATGAAGTAACCACTTATTTGATATTTGATCAATGGTTCTTATAAAATAACCACATGTTTGATATCTGATCAATGGTTACTCATAAAGACTACATGTTTGATACCTAATTGATCATGAAACCATGAAATAACCACTTGTCTGATTAATGGTTCTTATAAAATAACCACTTGTTTGATATGTGATTGATAGTAGACTAAACTATGACATAACCTTTGATTTGATAGAGATAACCCATGAAATAAGAGCTGATTTGATAACTGTTAGAAGTAATCCATGAAATAAAAACATGGAAAACTGGTATAAATGGAATAGGTTTTTGAGAGCCCAAAAGCTAGCTTATACATGTATACACAATTAATAAGAATAAAACTATCCTGCTGATACATATCAAAGTCAAAGTTAACATTCAACCAGTCAAAAAGGCACATTTTCTGCATTGTCAGAGTGTGTCCTGGTATAAATGCATTTGGTTTGTCCAAGACTTAGATTTCTGTCTGTGTCAGTAGTTTCTTTAGGCTACTTATTAACCAACAAGGTGAAGCAATTTGACAGAAATTGACAAATAAAAGCAGCAGACTATGACTAACTGGACATTACAATCTTGCCATTTTTAATATCCAACTTATAGCCTATTATCACTGACCATAATCAAGACATAATTGTCCTAATGGCGGAATTTCCTGATATCAACAATAAATTTCTCATTTTTTTGGTGAATATATTTTTATATTAATTGAATTTCAGTCATTAACAACATTAGCTCCATGTTTCAATCAGTGACATTAATAAATTGATGACCGAAATGGGAATTAATTTAGGGTTTTTGAGAGGAAATGAGCTTGTTTATAACACTTTATTTATTATAGCACCTCTTCCATAGAGAAAAAATACCCAATAAAAAATTGTTGATTGGAACTGTCAGAACAGAAAAACACCAAAATAGCATTATTTCTAATACAATTTATTAATCAATACATGCTTTTATTAAGAACCAATGTTTTATTGGTGTAGATGAAATGTTTATTTCTTTCAAATGAAATGAAACAGAATACTTATGATAAGTCCTATTCTGATATATTCTTGTCTGCACCTGAATGGGCTAATAAAGCCCAAATGCCAAATTTTGCTGGGACAGTAACATTAGTCTATATTTTTTATATTCAACAGTCATGGGATAATTTACATGTATATTAGTCTATTAGTCTATAGCAAATCTGAAGATCTGATTCTGAAAACTCCTTTTCCATATTAGGTTATAGTTCTGAGAGATATCTCAATAATCTAAGATTGATATTCAGGTTAGTGAGCAACCGTCTAACTCAAGGCTGTTGATTGGTTCTATTTACCGGATATGACCTGAAAAACAATTGGTCCAATTTCTGAACAAATTTAAGATATTCTGATAAAACTAAATTCAAATTATTCCAGTTCAAAAAAATTAAATGTCATTTGAAATGTCAAACTAGAAATTAAAGAAAGAAAAAAGAATTTCTTATTCAAACGTTGTAATTTATATGTTCTTAATGAGGTAAAATTTTGTGAAATACTTGTAGGTTTTGTTAGTAAATTATATTTATCATACTAATTACTGTGTTCGACATTCTAATACACTTTGACAGGCAAAGTAATGTATGCCCACATAGTGTATTGTGTAAATAAACCTTTTGTAATTGATACTTAAACTCAAGAATTTCTCCTAATAATTATCATTTTCTAAAAGGATCTATGCCTTCAGATGGTAAAGTGGACAGTGTGTGCCAGCTTCACATACAAACATAAATTATTACTATTAGTAACTTGATGGCCAATAATATATTCATTTTGATTAATATTGAGAAAATTGGTTTAAAGTAACATCAAATCGTTCAGTTATGAATTTAAACAAACAAACAAAAAACTGTCTGATTTTAAAACCAGTTAAAATTTAGTTTAAAATCTGCTTGAAGATTGTAATCTGTGCATAATCCCATTTTAAAATCTACTAGGATTTGGATATCTTGGAATACGAGAACTGGCTACATACAAAAAAGGAGAGCGCTGGTTGCTCAGTGAATAGATGCTTGCTAGCTAACCTGATGGTCCAAGGTTCAATCCTGGCATAGATCAAGATAAAACCTTCCGAATTTTCAATCTGGTTTCCCCCTGTCAGTAATGTAGGTAAGAGAGGCTGACATGGAAAAAGCGTCTAGTCCTTCAGATGGGACAATAAACTGAGGCAGACTGGTACAGACTGTGTACATTCAGGTTCCCTTGACAGTTGGAAATGGAAAAAGAGCAGGCAAATGCTGCTGTCCAGGTGAAATTTCCCTCATTTCAACCTGCATTAGCCCCCAGGGTGCAGAAAAGTAGGATGCTAAACTCTATTTATTTACAGTACAAAGAATGGTTTTAGTTCTTCTGGTATCTGCTTATGCCTAAGGCCTGTAGATGTAAATATTTCTGAATACACATTCAAAGCAAGATCAAGCCTGATTTCAAATCCATACTGTAATTTCTTGACTATCTTTCTCTAAAGGAGTTGGAAAGAAACTTGGTTTGATATAAAACTAGAGAATTAGGCCTGACATTG